TGAATTAAAAACCTTTATTGTCATTGTACACAATACAATGAGATTTGTAGAGCAGCTCTGTAAAAGTGCACACATAAATAACACATACATACATATACTATACATTAGTGCAAGTCCAAACATAGGTTGAGTATGGTGACAGCTTTAGGAAAGAAGCTATCCCTGAGTCTGTTTGTTCTGGTCCGTATAGACCTGAAGCGCCTGCCTGAAGGTGAAATTTTGGAATTGCTTTAATTTGATGAAAATCTGATGGATTCATTAGCTGATCAGTTTATTGAAATAGGGAAGCTGCCCAGCATCATGGGAAGACTCAATGCCTCATACTGAAGATTTGGTGATCATACAGTTTCAGTGTTTTAGCTGCAATGAAAGACTCATATATGATGTTGGCCTTTTTAACGTGATCTTTTTGACATTCACAGACTAATACATCAATAGGCTTATGAGCAATAAAAAAAAAGTTCAAACGCTCTAGTAATAAGTCTCAGGGAGGCGGCCGTCCTCTGATTACCATAGCTTTTGTTTAAATACAATGCTCTGTCTCTGAATAATTTCATGTTAATGTCACTGAGACATTTTAAACAAAGGCACAGTACAAAATCTGAAAGGAAAAAAATAAGTGTATCTGTAAGAAAAGTCAGCTCTTATCCAGCAAAGTTAGAGATTTACTCTCACGAATACATAAAATTGTGAAGGCATGGAAAGTCTACAAATTATTCATAATCAGCACATTTTCTTCTGCCAATGAAACAAGTCTGAGAAACTGAAATTATATAGATTCATTTAGTTTCCATAGGAAGAGCACTATGCTCCTCACCGAAACACTGCCTGAATCACTAACCTTATTAACTTCTGTTTAGACGACACTGTACAGTGTTTCATAAAAATAAAAAAAAAACTTAATTAAACCAACTTTGATACGTTACTATAATTTTTTGGAGCTAAATTAATCAGTTTTACTCAAGTTCTAATTGTGATTTAATTGAAGCATTTTTATTTAGTTTAGAGAAAATTTAATTAGAGAAAATATGTAATATTTCTGAATCATTAATAAACAATGACATAAAAAATAAAAAGTAATTGGCTGTAAATAACCTAGTTATTAAGTGTTTTTGTC